GGTCTGAAGATCGCAGTTGCTGGGTTTAACTCACTTAACCCCCTGCGATATAGTTAGTAATTATCGACAATACTGAGTCTAGCTAGTTTTTCTGCTAACATTATGTCAAATAATTACGTAGTGTAAACAAAACGCTCCTAGTCTCGCATAAATTTTGGCTGGATCGGTTAGCACAACTCAGAGATTGCAGATGAAATATGTTGATTGTACGTCTACATAAAAAACTATTGAAAACACCGTTGCGTCTCCGAATATTTTGAGTTGATCTGATTGTGAAAAACCTCGAGGAGTTTGGCGGGGTTTGATCCCGCGCATTAGGGAAGGCCTTTGCCGGAGGCCAATGCGCTAACCGCTAATCCACAAAAGCCCCGCCTCACGCCATGAATTTAATCACACTTGGGTCGATATTATCCGCCCAACTTATAAGCCCATGCGGTATCCATCAATACGGAACAGCAAGCTTACTGCCCAAGCAGGATTTATACCAGAATGACTATTAGGTTGACTTAATTATTAAGAGGTTTTGCAGATTTGCTTAATTAGAGTTGACCCCATTGTGAAAAACTCGAGGCGTGCGTTCAAATCACGCCAAACGCCTCGAGTTCTTTCACAATTGGGTCAACTCAAACTAAGCAAATCTGCCAAACCTCCTAATAGTTTCCGATTATGCCACCAACGTTCAGGAATCCCTGTAGGCCGACTCTTGAGGTCTTTGACGTTAGCAAGTTCCTTTCTGGCACGGAAATCATCCTGGACACATTTTTCTGACGATAACTTGTTGCCCTTGGTTTCCTGTAGTTTGCACTGACTGTTAAAGGGATAATATTTGCTCTCCCTTGGCGCTACGGTGTCATACGTGATTTTAATTGATTTCCTTGTAGTGCACGTATGTAAGGTGTTTTCGTGAAGGAACATCTATGTTACAGGGTACAGGTTTCGCATGTTGTAAAACGTACAGTAACACTGAAAACTCTCTTCCGGCATTCGTAGGCTGGGAAGCCGCCAAAGCAGGACGTAAGCAGGCCGCAGCAGCAGGAGCAGCACTCAGGACAGCGAAGAATCAACATGAAGCGTCAAAGCCGTCTTGGGCAGTGGCCACAGTAGTAGCGGAAGCGCCTGCTGCAGTGAAGCCAAATACTTCCGGAACTGATTTGACGGAGAATTAGGAGATTTTGAAGACAGTCTCGCAGGGGCGAGAAGCCGTTCAACTGTTTCAGGCACTGCATCAACAAATGAACACGTCGCAGGTGGTTAATGCAACGCAGATGCACGATATCAAGGTTGAGTATCTATATTTGTTCAGTTTCTCTAAGGATAAGACTCGGCCCTGTGAAATGCACCAGACGGGTATAGAAAAGGGGTGTTTTCTCCAGGTAAACCGCATTCTAACATCACTGTTGTCTTTCCTATCCAGGTCATTCGTGAGCGCCTGCAGATCCTGCAGTCAAACGTTCTTGACCTCACTAATGCATGTTTAACTTGGGTCGCTGATGAGGTTGAAAAGGCTCTTCCCTACTTGACAAGCGTGAACGACGACCTGCTGCGTTATATTGAGAGCTATCTGCAGACAGTTTCGAGAATTGAGGTTTGAATGCACCTTCATCTGCCTCTTAACGTTTAACACGGTAACATATCTTTTCCTGACGTTTTCCCTACTTGGATGGAGGCCACTTTTATCCATCTTACAGCCATGCTATTTCAGCAAGCGGGGTTAACTTCTCTTTTCTCAGTTTTAAAAGATGGTCTTTTGAACGTGCGAGCAGTATTTTTAGCATATCGAAGCCACTATGTTCAAAAGGACCTTATACTAATATATCATGAACGCATGCGTAGAGGTGTGGTATGTCCCTTATGCAGCTATCGATCAAAGGTGGAAATACACCGGGAATCAAGCTTACCCTAAATCATATGGTATGCATAAGCGTTTGGCAAATGGCCCCTTTTCGCTGCTTGGTGTGAGATAAAGCATGACAGATAATTTTGTTTATTCCTGCGTCAATAAATGCCGAACTTTCACACCAAGCTGCTGAATTTGTGTTTGTGAAGAAAGCAATCGCTGCCTCACCCGAATCTGTGCGCAATAAACAGATTCGGCCTGTGCCTGCAGAGAACAGTTCTCAACCACATTGCGGGTACCGGTGAGGCTGGTATGAATCTTGCTTACTTGACAAGCGTGGACGATTAACAGCTGCGTTGTATCGAAAACTATTTGCAGACAGTTCGACAAAATAAGGTTCGTATGCAATTTCATCTGCCTCCCTTATGTTTAACACGGTAACATATCTTTTCTGCTTTGCAGAAAAGTATAACGAATGGTCACGCTTTTGTTGGCTTTGTGTAAGCCTTAACGTGACCGTCAATTCAGGTTACTTTGCAT